AGAGGTTATGTGTAAGGCCATTGAGGGTAATACCTGATGGGCTAATCTTGCATCTGCCCACTATCTCTAGGTGTTACAAGGTGGATTGGCCGAGGGACCACTTAGGGTAAGTGTTGGGCCCATAGAGCTCATGTGATGGGTTTCAAGGGGTGCACTGTCCATAATAGTGTACTCGGCCAGGCCTTGTAATAAAGGCTGGGCTGAACCCATGTGGCTGATGTGTCGATCAATGTTTGGGTCTCACGCCATACAAGGAAGCCCAACTGGGTAGCAGTTTGAAAGGCTAAGTGAGCACATAACCTTATTGGTCCTAAAGCCCATTTCGAACTGGGTTGATTTTATCAATTAAATAAGGGGTGAACTCTGATATTAGATTAACAGATAGGATTGAGTCTTAACCCTATCCACTTAGAGAGTCTAAATCTGAATGTGATTCAGGTCTGGAAACCTCCTAATAGGATTAGGAGGGAGTTGATCTAATCTGTAGATAAGATAAGGGTTTACCCTTATCACTTAAAGGTAATTCTGATCCAAATATGATTTAGATCAGCAACTCCTAATGGAATTAGGAGTTGATCCCTTTAAGCTTATAAAAGGAGGAGGGGGCGACAGCCTTAAGAAGACATTCATATTCACATCCTCTTCAGAACTGAAATCACAGAAGAGAGAATTCAGCATCACTGCGCTAAATTCTTTCTTGCTACCTCCTTCCTGTCGCCACCATATCTGCCAGCTCAATCTCTTATTCTCAGTGGGAGTGATCAATATTGGATCTTGATATCAGTCCTTTGTGAAAGGGCTGATTGGAAGTAGTACTCACGTGTTGTCCATCTGATTCTTGCGAAAGTTCTGGTTCTTTTGAAGAATGCTACTGATTCTGCTCCATCCTGCACTGCGCCTTCTTCAGTAGGAGCAGTTTTTTGTTCTTTCCTTGGGCGTGAACACATCCATTGGAAGATACTATTTCTTCGTATCAGGTATATCCCTCTCCTACTGCTTTTGTTCAGATCTGGTTCGGTTCTTGATTCAACATTGATCCTTGAAAAATATGATTTTTCTAAAGTAGGGAATACGATTTCTAGTAGGATGGAGAGAAATTTTTTAAATTCGCCCATTCTATTCCGCAAGATTCGGGCGTCTATACGATGGATATCTCATCCCTTCAGATTGGATCTTGATATCAGTTTTTGAAGAAAGGCTGATCTGAAGGTGTACTCACTGCCTCCAGCGACATCTTGTGAAGGGTTCAGTTCTTTTGGAAGAACATTGCTGATTCTACTCCATCCTACATTGCGTTATCTTCAGTGAGAGCAGTTTTTGGTTCCTACCTTGGACGTGAACACCTCTATTGGGAGATACTACTTCCTTGTATCAGGTATATCAAGAGTGGGCGTCCAACGAACTGATTATTTTAGACCATTAAGACAATTCCTTCTTTCCACTTTTAAGGCTATTCCAGTACGATGATAAATTTACCCTACTCCAGTCTATTATTTCACACTGCACTGTTGATTCCACAATCAACATAAACAAACTCACTACCAAGGCCTCAATAGTCAAGAAGAACTGTTTTTTTACTGGTCCTTAGTTTCCATGTTCCATTCCATTCTGTTTCGAAAACATCCCATTTCAATTGTAGAAGTAAAATTAAGTTGCTATTATTTGATTATGCCCTAATCGTCAATCAGCTGCTGTTACAAATAAGCGAACGCCACAAAACAGGGTCAACCTGTTGCATTTATATCTCAAAGAACAATATTTATTAATCATTATATGCACCTAAAAACACATCATTAGATTAAGGATATTCTTTTTAATTGAAGAACGCGTGCATCATTTCCAATAACAAGGAAAAAAAAAGTCAAATACAGACCACTTCAAATGGTCTTACAAGCTGAAAAAGATTCATTAGAATATTCAAATTATAAATTTAAGAATGACTACATACCCCTTTGCAAAAACATTTTGGCATCGGTTCAAGCATTCCAAACAAAAATACGTCATTTGCCAATTCCCATAACATGAAAGGATGGACCAAACTTCAATATTTATTTGAAACATAAAATTCCAGAACTTCAAAATCATCGGTTAGATGAACTCAAAAATAGAATTACAATCTCTGCTCGTCATTCTCCTAATTATATAGAATGATGAATTGAGTTCAGTCGTATCTCAGCTGATTCTTGAATAACGAATAAACGGGTGCTACCCATAATAAGACCAAACTGAGATTGCAACAACTGGTCCTACAAAAGAATAACAAAGACCAGCATTTGGAGGAATATCATATTCTATTTTTTCAATCTGCTGCCATGAAAGGATCTATTTCCCCTAGATCAGCCACCAGAGGTTTTAATTCTGATGTATCTTCATCATCTGGAGTAAAATAAGTCGGGAATGGTAGCAATGAAATATCAGGTTTCTTGTAAACAGCATCCTTTATAAACACAAAATTGCCTTCAGCACCCGGGACCTGTAATTATAGTCATCCAGAAAAATGATGCCAGTGAAATTAAATTAATAATAAGATTGATGAAAATTCCTAATCATTCTTCATCTGCATCCTTTCTTTTAGTTCTTTCAAATAGGAGGGTAAAAAGCAGCCTTAAGATTAACAAGACAATAGTTGCCATGTTAAAATTATTAATAATTGTATGAAAAACCACCATATGCTGAACCATGAGGAAAAAAATGAGTGCACTGGCCTAGCCTCCTAAAAACCCAGCCCTGTTACCCCATAAAACTATAGATCTCACACCCTCTCTAGCTAAAGCATCAGCCATCACTGATCTTCAAGGATACAACTAAGAGAATTTGCTTTCAACAGTTGGTACAGTAAATGATTGATGGTCAGAGGATGAGTCTCTGGTGAAGAGGCCAGCATCGTTCGGTCAAACATACATTAGTCTAGGTTAATTTTCAAGCACTCAGAGTAGGGGTAAAAGCCTCACCCAGCCTGTCCTGGGCCCTTGTAGGCCTGGAATCCATGCCAGGCCAGGCCATGGCACAGGCTATAGACCTTGCCATAAGTGATCAGCCTGACTCACCCCATGATCACCCCTAACTCAGAGGCAGTTTGATGTAGGACCAGATCAGTTTTAGTCCTTAGAGAATGTTGAATGGTCTTCTTGATCAGAGTTTTATGGCTGTTTATGGTTGTAATGGCTTCTTGAAGGACTGAGAGAAAATAGGGAAAGAAAGAAGAGAAAAAAATACCTGGAATCACACAGGGTGCCTAGAATCACTCTAGGGCATGGGAATCACTCGCCATAGCTAGGCATAAGCTGAAGAAAACTCAATATAATTCACTGCCTTTGTGTAAAACGTCCATACATATTTATAGACTCTAAACTCATAATAATCCTAGGAGTCAAACTGTTAGACTCATAATAGTCTTAGGATTCAAATTGTTAGACTTAATAATCCTAGGACTCAAACTAAGCTGTCATACCCTAATTCAATTCAAAGAAGACTCAATAACTCTAATCCTACTTATGCAATGACTGAAATTTTAAACAAGAACAAACTATAACTAGACAAATTAAACCCTATAGAAAAATTATAAAATGGCAAAAATACCCTTGGTGTTCAATTCAGTCCAAATCCCAAATACCATCACTATGCCATATCAGGACCTGTTGTAAGGCCTTCTTTCTAGAATAAGTCTTCAAGGATGCTGATCGATTCCTATCACAGTTATATTTTGATATGGTAGAGAAAGGTACTAACCAAAGTGTCTCAGAATCTGGAGATTCAGAGGAAAAAACAATGCAGTGTTTTATAAGGCGTGGGAGGCATACGCCGCATGTGCCTCACAGTCACACACATGACACACCTCATACATAAAGAGGGAAAAAAAGAAAAAAGAAAGAAAAAAGAAAAAGGAAAGAAAAGGAAAGAAAAGAAAAAGAAAGGGAAGGGAAAGAAAAAGGAAAAAGAAAGAGAATAATGAAAAGAAAAGGGAAGGGAAGGAAAAATGAGATTTTTACATATCTTCATTCTTCTTAAAATAAAAGATTTTTATTAAAAACAATGAAAAGTGAGATCCTCCTCCCTCTTCTTCCTCCTTATCCCCCTCCCCTTGAGGAGGCACGCGCCTCTTTTGTTCTGAACTATCCGAGAAAAAATGGCTTTGTTCACTTTAGAGAATGAAGAGCTTTCCAGAAAAGTTTTTTGAAGCTTGAAGAAAGAGGAATTTCTAAAGGTTCAAGTAGAAATATATTGCAATAAGCATGTAGGTGTCTGTTGAGGTGCTAGGTTGAGCTCTAAAATGGTGTGGTAGGCATGGATCTCAAGGAGTGGTGATTGTTGTTTAAAGCTCAATGACTGTTTAGGTTGAGGTAATAGGGTGGATTTTGAGTTTGCACTTAAGAAAGTAATGGAAGCCAACATCATTTCCTATTTCCTATTTGTAATGGTTGATTAAATCTTAAGTTTATTGGGGAGGATAGAACCGAATGTTTTTTTTTACCCTAGAAGTAACTCAGAGATTTTGTAGTTTGGGTTGTTGAGTTTGAATGTACCAATAACTGCTAGTTTGTAGGCAAGGGCTTGGAGAGTTTTGTTTCACTACATTGATGACTCTTTATTACCTCCCTTATTCATACACAAACTAAAGTGTGCATACTGTGCATTGTCCCCATATAGTTGGGAAAGGGATAGACTTTGGGAGCAGTTAGCAGCAGTTAGAGGTTTATGGGATGGTCTTTGGTGTTTGGGGGGAAACTTCAATGTAATAAGATTTTTGATTGAATCAAATAACCCAGGCCACTAGATTACTTCAAGTATGAGAAAGTTTAACCTCTTTGTAGAAACATTTGAGTTACAGAACCTACCAAATTAAAAGGCAAATTTTACTTGGTCAATTTTTCAAGAGGTTCCCACTTGCTCCTAGTTAGATAGATTCCTCTTTACAGTTGAGTAGAAAGTGGAATGGCGGGGGATTTAGTAGTCACAACATTGTCGAGACCTGTTTCAAACCATTGCCCAATTAGCTTGGCCCAAGAGAGGGTGGGAGGTGGCCCTTGTCCTTTTAGATTTGAGAATATGTGGCTATACACCCTAATTTTTTACCAAAGGTGAAGGAGTGGTGGGAGGATTAAGTGGAGTTCAGATGGAAGGGTTATAGATTTTACAAGAAATTACAGTTATTGAAAGCAAGAATAAAGGTTTGCATTGATCAGAAAAAAAAAAAAAAAAAAAAGAATCAAGGTTTGGAATAAAGAGGTCTTTGGAGGAATTTAGGGAAAAAAAAAAAAAGATCTTTAGTAGATTAGACGAGCTAGATAGTTTGGAAGCTGAAAGAAGTTTGAGGACAGAAGATAGTGAAGAAAGATGGAGGCTAAAAAAGGATCTGGAAGAAATTCTAAGAGGAGGTTAGCTAGATAAGATAGGTCTCTCTTAATCCTAATCTGATAAGATAAGGCAACCTAATAAGATAAGATAATCTAATCTACTAACTTAATAAGATAAGATAAGAATAACAAGATAGTCTAATCTAATCTGCCGAATGGATAAGACTGTTGTTGCCGAATTGGATAGGATGAGAACACAGGATCATTGCTGTTGCTGCTCCCAATACGCGTCCACATCATTACTCCCCTCCTGGACTACGAGCTTGTCCTCAAGCTCGAATTCAGGATGGGTGTCTTGAAATGCAGTCAAAGGAAACCCAGATAGGTGAATGACTTTGCCCTCCTGGATCGGGTTCCAGTGAAGAGGGTTCATCCTCATCTTCCTCTTGTTTCACCAGGAGGCAGAAAAGTCTCTTGCACTTGTGCCATGCTGAGTTGAATTCATCACAATTAAAACATTGTCCCCTCGCCCCGCGTTCCGCCATCTCAGCCCTGGACAAGTGCTTAATAGGGGGTGCAACGACGCTACTCTCCACACTGGATGCTGATCTGGAATTGTTGCTCGTCTGTGGCTTCCGTTCTTGGCTGGCTGCTGAATATTGAGCCATTCCGAGTGGTTCTGGGGATGCCCATGCTAATGGAAGCCGCCCCATACTGAAGGTTCCGCGACTGAGTTGTAGCTTGCGTTCGAAGGCGCGAGCTATATTCATGGTTGTGACTAGGTTGGAAGGATGTTGCATCTCCACATCCACCCTCAAGGGTTCTGCCAACCCTGCCGTGAACATGTCTACCTGCTGGTCCGGTCGCACTGAAGACACCCTCGCGAGGAAGGTCTGGAACTGGCGCTGGTATTCTACCATTGTGCCGGTTTGTTTAAGGTTAATCAGCTCGCCTAAGGGGTTGCTTGTCAGTGGGGGCCCAAACCTAAGAAGGCAGTAGGACTTGAACTAGGGCCATCTGAGCTCGGGTTCTTCCTGTTCTAATCGATAGAACCAGAGTTGTGCTTCTTCTGTTAAGTGAAAGGCGGCTAGGCTTACCTTATCCCGGTCGTCTGTCTGTTGATTTCGGAAAAACTGCTCGCACCGGTACAGCCAGCCCAAGTGGTCTCCATTGCCGTTGTACGACGGGAATTCTAACATGCTGTACATGGGAATGACTGCGGCCCCCTGGTTGACGAACTACTGCTCGCCAGAAGACTTTGATAGATCCGGTCGGCGGCCGCTAGTGGCTACCACCCCTTCTATGTTCCTCTCCTTGCTAGAAAGGAATAACTCCATCAAACGCCGTAGCTCCCTGACTTCGTCCTTGATTTCCYGTACTTCCGAGCTGGTCTCCACGAGCCGATGCTCGAGTTCGTGGACCCTGGACGGCAGCTGCTCCAGATCACCCATGACGCCTTGCTCTGATACCAARWTGTTRWGGGMCCGVGAATARGATCTCGTCACGGGTCGGTCCATGGGGAAAACCTCCTGTTTTCCCTTGTTCCTCCCTGCTCTTGATGAACCTATCTTGGCCGCCCTAATGGTGATTTGTCCAAGAGATCACCAACTCTCCTTACTCTCTTCTTGACTGAATATTCGATGCCTTTATTCACTAATAGTGGCTCCTTAAATAGGATATTACAAGAGTCTTGTTCTTAGGGAGACTCCTTGCTGAATAAGGAGACCTCCAGCTTTATCTTGATAAGATAAGACTAATAAGATAAAATAAGTCTCTCTTAATCCTAATCTAATAAGATAAGTCTCTCTTAATCCTAATCTGATAAGATAAGTCTCTCTTAATCCTAATCTAATAAGATAAGGCAACCTAATAAGATAAGATAATCTAATCTATTAACTTAATAAGATAAGATAAGAATAACAAGATAGTCTAATCTAATCTGCCGAACGGATAAGACTGTTGCTGCCGAATTGGATAGGATGAGAACAGCGGATCATTGCTGCTGCTGCTCCCAATACGCGTCCACATCATGCCCAGGTAATGAAACCTGATTGAATGATCTTACCCGTCAAAGCTACAAAACTTTTTTCTGGAGCAGTGATGTAAATTCTGAGAACCATGCACAAGAACTTGATGTATCCGTTACTAGGATCACAACATCATCCAAATTTTTGAACTATGTTAGATCAATGAAATAGTGACAGTCGTGACCTTCCTCCATGCAGATAAAACACTTACTAGATAGGAACACACTGCCAATATGGACTTGAGTAGAAGTTTAGTGCTGGTAGGCAAGTTATATCTGCTCAAGCCTAAGGCAGTAGATAGAATTCTAAAGACATAAAAGCCAGTCAATGTCTTAAAATCATGGAAAATCCAATCAGGTCATCTTATGATGTCTTAACCAGGAATCTGGTGGAGAAATTTACTTAGGTATTAGGGGAAATCCAATCCCTCCAAGATTAGAAATATTTACATGGTTGGTGTCATTGAACAGTATTTTAATTCTTGACAGTTACCCATCTAAAACAAAGGAGATTTTGTATTACAAGTCACTGCTTCATGTGCAAGAATCATGGAGAAGATGTGACTTTTGTTCATTTAGTGAAAAGTAGCAGATTTCATTTTACCCTTTTTTCTTTCAGTTATTCAAAATAAGTTTTTTTAATACCACTCCAACCACATAAAAACCTTTCCCTCTTGACCTTTCATTCATGCAGGTAAGAAAAGCTAAGATTATTTGGAATATGCTCCTTTCACAATCTCTTGGGTGGGGGAGGGGAGGATTGAAGGATACTTAAGCAGAAGCAATGCTACAAGAGAAGAATTGTTGCTGGAATTCACTCTGATGCTGGAAAGGTTCATCCAGTCCTTTTTCAAGGCTTTGGTCACCCAGTCCAAAAGGTACCTTTTCTTGTACCTCCTTTTTTAAGGCCATTTGTTCCCACCCTATAAGACCTTTCTTGTGTCTATTGCCTAACTGGTGCCTTTTGTGCAAAGCTAGTGGGGAGACTTGCTCTCACTAGTTTCTATCTGTCCTTTGGTTGCAGCTATTTGGAGTTGGATTTTCTCTTTGGTTGGGTGTAGGTGGAACCTACAAGCAGAAATGCGCTTATTTTTTTATCAAGCTCTATTTCTTTGGCCCACAAAGAGGGGAAAATTATGTGGAGTATTAGAGCAGCCACCCTTTGGACAATTTGAGAAGAAAGGAACAGAAGAATCTTCCGTGAAAAAGAAGTCTCTCAGAACTAAAGAAGTGCATTTTAACAAGGTACATTGGTTGAGAACCCTTATCTCATTCCACTCTTGTACATTTGATGATCAATGGAGAAACTGGTTGGCAGTGGCCAACAGTTCCACAAGAAGCACTAGAAGTATCTCAGAATGGTATTTACTTGTGGATGGGTTCATAAAAATGAACTTTGATGGAAAGAGACTGGCAACTTATTATATCTTTTCTCAGGCCCAGTGGGATCAGGAGACTCTGTTAGAACTGAACTACTAGCTGTGGTACAAGGAATTCAGATTGTAAGCCAACTGGGTGTCGACAGATTATGTATTGGAGACTCTATGGTGGTGATAGGGTGGTTACAGGATCCAGATTCTGCTATTTGGAAATACAGGGACTTATAAGGAAAGTCAAGTGGCTAACAAGGGAATGTGACAATCAGAATACAATGGGTGAGCAGGTCAGCCAATGTTATGGCTGATGTCTTGGCTAAACAAGGGGCTGTTAGGGAGTTACTGTTTGTGGCTGAGTTGTCATACTTAATTTTTTCAGTTCAAATTTCAGTTTTTTGGGCTCAAGGGTGTGGCTGCATCTTGTGCCCCCCCCCCCCCAAAGGAGCGCTTGTAACTGCTTTAAACTCTGGTCAATAAAATCTATTCATTTATCAAAAAAAAAAGGATCTTGGTTCATCTCCTGCATTTTCAAGAGTAGGAAAACACATCCCTCAATGTTGATTCTTGGTCAGCTTTACATTTTTGGAAATAATGAAATTCAGTTGTTCTTTGTTGCTTGATTTCTGATGCAAGTTGTTTGTCTCTTGATTCTGGGTCAAACTTCTTCACCTTAGTGGTAACATTCCTTTTTTTTTATTTTAGTAAATTTCTACCTTATTACCAAAAGAAAACAAAAAGAGCCGGTTCAAAAAATCATACCTGGCCTTTCACCCACATCAAATTCCTTGCAGGATCTATCTTGTAGACCCATACATTTTTAACCGTGCATTGCTTCCCACCCATGCGCCCAGGCATTTTCTTGCCCTTGAAAACCTGTTTATACAACATAAATTGTAGGTGTCAGTTCCATACCAGTCACATCCCTGCCACTCCATTCAAACTTTTTCATTTTTCCCCATGCTTGCTTTTTTCTTTTCCTCTGTGTATGTAAGCATATAAACATTCAACTTGGGTACCCAATTTGAAATATTTCTACTGCATTGGGCCAGAGCCTTTTGAAATCTAATAAATACTCAACCCAAGCCAGCCTAAGCCACATCCCTATATTATAAGGATAAAGGGGAACTAGGGGGGAAGGCCCATTGCACAGTTACCCAGAACACCTCCAACATACAGGAGTAAAGCAACAACAAGACAAAGTTAATTTACCTACATCCTCAATATGAGAAGCTGAAACTACAAATATCAGGATTTTCATACTCATCCATTTCCACAGAAACTAAATATTATATCCAGCACATGAACCAAAGAAGAAAATTACAAATAGTATAAGAGTAGAATTGCATGTCATGGCATTGGTTAGGGTATGTGCAAAAGTAGGAATTTTTCCTTGGAGTGTCTGGAGCAATATGTTCGTAATATGTAAGCCAATCCATACAGATATGTATACACACATGCATACACACATATGTATGTATACATAGAAGAGTAGAGAATATGTGAAGTTTCAAAGCTGAGGATTCACTGTTGTAAGAGTGGTGATATATTATTCAGGGGGATCTTAGGAGGTTATTGGGAGGATGATTAGGTTAGCTGAGAGCCTGAACTGTGCTCAGAGTGTTTCTTTTCTTTTACTCGGATGTATTACTGAGGTATTTGTAAAATGCTGGTGATCTTTGTTGTATGGGGCAGTGTTTTAAAAGTGCAAGGTGCAAAAAAAGCGCAAGGGCCAATTTGCACCTGAGGCGCAAGGCGAGGCGCATGCCTCTTTTAAAAAAGGCACAAAATTACAAAAAAAAAAGCTAAAATTCAAAAAATGCAAAAAATATTAAACATAATGTTAATAAAAAATATAAACTTAAATTTTAAAATAAATGTTTTAAAAAACCTATTAYCTAAAATTAAAAYRCATAAACATAACATGTAAAGCATATTCAAATGAAAATTTAAAAATAAAAGCAATCATATAAAGCATTTTTAAGCATGTAAAACCCACAATCTCTTTTTCCTTAATTGCATTGCTTCAAGTAGCTAATGTGATGTAAAACATATTGCATTCTTGATTCTATGAGTCGCCTTTGTACCACGCCCCTCAAGGCAAGCCCGAACAAGTCTATGTTAGTGTCTGAAATTCTTATTTCTCACAAAAAATAATGATTTTATAACTTTCATTGCCTTTTAAGAAGATATTTTATTGCAATGAATGAATGAACAACATTATCAAATAGGGGGTTCTCGGAGCTGAGGCGCAAGGTGCATCAAGCGTGCGCCTTTTGAAAGGGAGTGTGCCTCTCTCCTGGGCGAGGCGCATACCCCAAAATGCGCCTCGCCTATGCAAGGGATGTAGAGGTTGAAAATGTCACGAGTCTGGTTCAGATCTTAGACCGGGTGGTGTTGGATCCCTTTAAGAGGGATAAGAGACTGTGGACCCTAACTCCCTCTGGAACCTTCTCTTGTGCCTCTTTCTTCAAGTCCCTACTACCTTCATCCAGTCCATTTGCACAAAACTTTCCAGTTAAGGATGTTTGGGGTGAGCCGATTCCTCCAAGGATTGGAGCCTTTTGTTGGGAAGCCTTCCTCGGAAGATGTAATACTTGTGGCGTACTCCAACGAAAAAGGCCTTTTTGGTGCCTGTCTCTGAATTGGTGCATTCTTTGCAAGGCTAATGGTGAAAGCTCCTACCACTTATTAGTTTCTTGCCCCTTTGCTACTGATCTTTGGGAGTGGTTTCTTTCCTCTTTTGGTTATAGGTGGACCCCACCGCCAAACATTCAAAGTTTGTTTAGCCCCTCATTCTTTGGTTATCCAAACAAAAGAGGAAGGATAATATGGAGATGTGTGAGGGCTGTTTGCTGGACTCTTTGGGAGGAAAGGAACACCAGAATTTTCTTTGAAGTTGAAATAAGTGAAGAATGCCTTATTGAAGTAGTAATAGTGAGGGTGGTACATTGGCTGAAATCCTTGGACCTATTTGTTGATATTTCTACAGATATGTTGCTGAATAGCTAGCTGGCTAGAAGTGGCAAATCTGCTCCTGCCCGCTCTTTAGTTTGTCTTGTGTGGTCACCACCAAGAAGTGGACTTATAAAGCTAAACTTTGACGGAAGTAGTGAGGGAAATCTAGGTCCATCAGGTGTAGGAGGGGTTTTTAGAGATGAGGATGGAAAGGTGCTCACTTTGTATTCAGGTCCCATTGGGTTTGGAGACTCTCTCAAAGCTGAGGTCTATGTAGTACTGGAGGGTATAAATCTCTCTCAAAGTCTAAGGAACTGAATATACAAAAGTTAGTCATTGAAGGGGACTCAAAGTTGGTTACAAGAAGGTAGTGGACTTTGGAAATATGCTAATGAGAGGAGGGTGATTAACTGGCTAACTAAAGGACTGGAAATTAAGTTTCAGTGGGTCAAGAGAACAGCAAATGCATTTGCTGATGCTTTGGCAAAGCAGGGGGTAGGAAGGGATCAAATGTTTTCCGCTGTTCCGTAACCTTTTCTTTTTTGTTATCTTCCTGGAGAGAGTTAAGCTTGTTTATCTCTCTTTGGAGCGCTATAACTAAATTCTTTTAATCTAATGAGTTCCAGTTGTTGATCAAAAAAAAGGTCTTAATTAGCTAGAATAGGCTTTATGAATGATTCCAAGACTAAATAGATTGGTTAGGTTAGAAAGGATCTTAGGGCTTAACTTCCAAAATTGTAGTTTTGTCCCGAAATTGTAAAAAGTTTCCATTTGAGGAAAATATATCAAAGATAAAAATTTTCAAAGAAAATTTGCAGGTGTGTTTAGTATAGACAGTTTTAAAAGGCAACCAGGTTAGGTGGGGTTTAGATTGCAACTTGCCGAAAAGAATGAAAATATGCTTTCTGAAGAACTTTACGGTTTTAGATAGAGTTTCACGATGAAATTCAGTAGGTTAAAAGGTGATAAGCATCTATGACAGGTGCCAAATACAATATCAATCAGAGATAATTTAGCACAAAGACAAAAGAAGCAAAATGAGAAAATCTCTTTTTATATGGATAACCATAAATTGCATTAATACTGAATCAAAGAATGAAACATATACCATATATCCAGCATCCATTTTTGCAACAGATTTAGGCCTACTGTTTCAAAAATGAGAATCTCAATCTAATATGTGAACTAAAGTGAAATGTACCTGGACTAATTTTAGTCATTCAAAGATGTTGAATAAGCTCTTTTGGTGAACAATGTGCAAGTTTTCTTTTTCTTTTTTTTTTTTTTTTTTGGTATCGAGGAACAGAGAATGTGTGTGAGCTATAAGGTTTGGGTCTGCATTTTGAGTCTGCATTTTGGGTCTTGCAGAACCAGAGATTTGGGTTAGCACAACCAGAGATTTTGGGTCTTGCAGAACCAGAGATGTGTGAACTAAAATGGTAAACTTGCAGAACCAGAGAAACAATAGATAGGGAGTGTCAGTGATTTGGGTTAGCACAACAGACCCAATCATATTATACAGGGTTTGGGTCTGCATTTTGAGTCTGAATTATTAATATGATAGGAACCGGGTAAACATTTGAGTTTTGATTATAAGAGGGTTATTGATTTCCCCTGTTCTGACCAGATTAAGATCCAAACCTATTGTGTAAACATGCTTCACATGGTTTACCTCTGACAACTTCATATTAGAGTGTGGATGATATCTCATATTCCTTAAAGGCAGCATTTATGGTGTGGACAGCAGTCTTAGGGAAGTCACAAACAAGGGACAGCTTAAGGAGTGAAATGGAGATGAACTCTTTGGAATGTGTTTTATGCAAGGTCCAAAATCATTCTTTATACAAGATATCTAAAATAATCACACACTTAATGTAAACGCACACACACACTTAATGAAATCCGTGCGTTCAAAAACATTCTTTATACAAGATATCTAAAATAATCATTTGTAAAGGATAAAATGATACTGCCAAATTACCAAGTGAAAGGCTTGCCAAATATAATCAGATCTTCTTGGGCCAGAACTTAGGATCTAGTACCTATAGAACCTTCTGGTCTACATTGGAATAGGGTCTGTGTTTTCCAGCAGGACTGGATCCACCCTGACCCAAACTTGATCTGACCAATGAGAAACCAAAATGCCCCTATTGTCTAAAAACACAAAAAAAAAACATCATAATTAAAAAATTTGAGTTTTGATTTGTTTGCTCCTCCATCATAATCCCTTGATTATTTTGCACATTTCTATAAAGTAGAAAATTTTCCAGCATCAATTCCCTGTATATGTTTTGCTGGTTGATCAGGAATTCTACTTAATCAGCCAACTTCCAACAAAGAGAAATCAAGGATTTTTTCTTCCAACTTAATCACATAAGCAAATTACATAATACAAAAACCAGCATCTCATTTCTATAACATTAATTCTTCAAACTGCAAGTAAATTCCTTTACCTACTTAGGAAATCAATAAGCAACAAACAACAGACCATGAAATAAACACCAAGAAAAAGGAGCAAGTGAGCAACCACATCATAAGATGCTACTCAATTTCCAAACAAACTGTAAACCCTTTGCCTGTGAAGATGGAATAGTACATACCCTTCCAGGAGCATCTCTTTGACCAGTAGAACCAATGCTTCGATGTGATAATGAAGCACCATGAGATGCAGGCATACCAGAAAATCCCCATCTTTTCATCCCGCCCTGTTAAAACAAGAGTTTGTTAGAGATGAAAGAGATTTGTAATATGTACTTTGAGGAAATCCATTAGTAATTTCTTGTAACCCTAACCTGATGTCGCAAAATCTCATCTCAAAGCTCACATACATTGATGTTAAAATAACAATTGGAAGCAGCAAATCGATTGTGGTTATATATTACTCCTACACTTGGCGTGCATACCTCATCCCTCAAACAATGTTAATGAACAAAACAGGCATCATAAAATATCATGTATAACCTAAATTAATTAAGAAGAAAAGGAAATTTTCAAGGTAGATGCTAAAGCTAACAGAAACCAAGAAAATCCCTGCCTAAGATATTGCATTTCTCATAAAATGACCAGTGTTGCAAGAGGCAAGAGCTAGGGTGTAGAATTTGATTGATAGATGGATATACTTAAAGAGAACGGGAAGGCGAAACATTCATGTAGCTGAGCCCATATAGTTAGGATAAGGCTTGGATGATGATGATGAGATGGATAGATTAACTTTTACTTGTTTGGGCTCAATTTTCTGCTTGTGTTTCTACAATGGAAGGGGGTCAAGTTTCATAAGAAGCTAAAGAGGTTGAGAGCCAAAATAAAAGAGTGGAATAGGGATCATTTCGAAAGAATCAAGGAACAAAAATTGAGTCTAATCACTCAGATAGAAGACTTGGATGTGGAGGAATCTCAAAATGTACTAACCAAGGATGATAGAGGATTAAGGAGACAATTCAAAAAGGATTTGGAAGAGGTACTATTGAGGGAGAAAATCAGTTGGAGACAAAAATCAAGGCACAAGTGGATTAAGGAAGGTGATGGGAACACTAGATTCTTCCATGATTTGGCAAATGGGAGACGAAGAAAGAAGTTTGTGACCAAGTTAGAGATAGATGAGGAGGTGATTACCAACCAGGATGACATAGGCAAGAAGCTTGTAGACCAATTTAAATCGATCTATAGGAAGCCTTTGAGTGAGAGAGCAGATGTGGAGGGGGTGGAATGGCCAAGATTGGATGTTGAAACGGCAAGGCGGTTGGTAAGGAATTTCGAGGAAGAAGAAATTAAGCAAGCTGTCTTTCTAATGGATAGATCCAAGGCTCCAAGTCCAGATGACTTTACAAGAATCTATAAAATTCTGGCTAAAGTGCTCTCTTTGAGGATCAAAGAAGTTTTCCCAACTATTTGCTCAAGGGGCTTTCATTCAAGGGTGACAAATAACAAATCAGATCCTAATTGCGAATGAATGTGTGGAGGAAATGAAAAGGTCTAGGCAAAGAGGTTTTGATTGTAAATTTGATCTTGAAAAGGCCTATAACTTGGTGGATTTGGAGTTTTTATCAAAGATGATGAGGAACTGTGGGTTTGGGGATAAGTGTTGTAGCTGGATATTTTGGTGTATTAGTACCTGTAGCTACCCTATATTGGTTAATGGTGTGGTGAAAGATTCTTTTCCAACTTGTAGGGGAGTCAAGCAAGGGGACCCACTCTCTCCTTTCCTATTTACTTAGTAGCCGATGTGATTAGTAGAATCATTACAAAGGCCGATAGAGAAGATACAATTATGGGTTAGAGTAAGGAGAAACCAGATCCTAGTCACCTACCCAACTTCAGTTTGCAAATGACCTGATGATTTTTTGTGAAGGAGGTATTAGCGAGAAGGTAGCAAACCTAAAGGAGCTAATCAAAGGTTTTGAAAGATTATCTAATCTGAAAATAAATTTGGAAAACAATTGCATAGCGGGTATTAACTTGGAGGATGGGTAGATTGAGGCTATTGCGGAGTGTCTTGAGTGTTCCATTTCTTCTTGGCTTATGTCCTACTTAGGGCTTCCATTAGGGGAAAATCCCAGGGAGAGCAGATTTTGGACCCCAATGCTAGAAAAGTTTGAGAAGAGATTAGCTTAGCTTCGTGGAACTGTGGAAGAAGAATTACATCCCTTTGGGAGGGAGAATCACCCTAACAAGAGCTACATTGGATAACTTACCCACTTATTTCCTATCTGTTTTTAGGATACCACCTAGGGAAGCCAGGAAGTTGGAGCAGTTGATGAGAGATTTCCTGTGGGAGCTGTGAAAAGAAAAAAAGGATCATTTGATTAAATGGGAAATTATCTGTAGAAGCAAAGACAAGGGAGGTTTGGGAATAGGGAGGATGGTTGAAAAAAAATCAAGCTCTATTGGGGAAATGGTTGTGGCAATGGTCATTTGAAAGCAAAAGGCTTTGGCATGAAGTGGTGGGAAGCATTCATGGGAGTCCAGAGAATGGGTGGTACTGTGGGATGTTGGTGTTTCAAGGCAAGCTAACTTGGCAACACATTGGAAGGCCATTCACAACACTCTTCCTCAATTTCTCGAGTTCATCAGGTATGAAGTTTGTTCTGGCAATGTTGTCCGAATTTAGGAGGACATTTGGGTAGGAAACACCCCTCTAAAGGACTGTTTCCCTTTGTTGTTTTCTATTTCATTGTATAAAAAGGAGGTGGTCTCAAAATTTGCCTCATCTTCAGGAACACCTATGGCTCCTAATTGGGATTTCGGATTTCATAGGAGATTAAGGGATGATGAAATCGAATCCCTCTCTGACATGCTTTGTTGCCTTAATCAGGTTTGCTTGGATCCTTCCAAGACAAACAAAAGGGTGTGGGCTCCTAAACCCAAAGGGACCTTTACTTGGGCTTCTTACTTCAAGACCATCTCTCAGTCTTCTGTCCAACAACTTTTTCCGTCAAAGGAAATTTGGTGCAGAACAGTTCCCCCAAAGATTATGGCTTTTTGTTGGGAAGTGTACTATGGGAAAGCAAACACTCTAGATAACTTACAAAAGAGAAGACCTTTCAATTGTATTTCTCCCAAATTGTATACCCTCTACAGAGCTCATGAGGAGGATTGTTACCATCTACTAATATCTTGTCCATTTTCTATAGACTTATGGGCTCGATCACTCTTGTTATTTGGGGGTAGTTGGAGCTTACCAGCTGAAGTTCGCATGATCTTTGACCATTCTACTTTCTCTTGGCATACAAAAAGAGGGAGAATTATTTGGAGATGTGCTCAAGCAGCCCTGATTTGGACGTTATGGGAAGAAAGGAATGCTATAAGCCTAGAATTTTTCAAGAGAAGGAAAGGAGCAGCCAGGAACTGAAAGACTATGTTGAATAGGGCAATATATTGGCTGAAGACTTTGAAAATTTTTCATCAATTCCCATAAAATGATTATTGGAGAAACTGGTCAGCAGTAGCGAGGTGTTCTTCCTTTAAGAACAAGATAGTTACAGGGTGGTGACCTCCGTCTAAAGGTTCACTGAAGCTGAACTTTGATGGAAGTAGCTTGGGAAACCCAGGGCTATCTAGAATGGGGGGGCGGGGGGTTTTGAGGAACGAGATTGGAGAGATTGTTCTGCTTTACTCGGGTCCTTTAGGATTCAGAGACTCTATTAGGGAAGAGCTCTTAGCAGCTGTATAAGGGGTGCAATTTACAAACCAATTGGGGGTAGAGCATCCGATAAATGAAGGGGATTCCAAGGTGATGGTAGGCTGGTTGAGAAACCCTGAGAATACCCATCTGGTACTACAAGAATGAAATTAAGAAATTTAATTGGCTAACTAGGAATATGTTGGTTTCTATACAGTGGGTGGGCCAGTGGGGAGATCAGCAAATGCTTTGGCTGATGTCTTAGCCAAGCAAGGGGTAAAGAGGGAAGAAATGCTTTGGGCCCATCTGTGATTTCTGTAATTTATGTTTAATTTACTTGTAAGCTTCTAGGAGAGGCTGCAAAGTTTCTGAATTAATAAAATTATACTATTCCTCATAGAAAAATGGCTTTGCAAGGCCCATACTTTCTGTCTAGGTTGCTTGTTACTAAAAAATTTCTAGTTTTCTGAACTTATTTCATTTTTAATGGTTGTCAGCTTTTGTTTTTATTGAAGAAGGTGGTTGCACAAAAGTTACATGGGCCCACCATATTTAACTTTTCATTGGTTATGTGGTAGGTTAAAGGACCTAAGGGTTACATGAGCTTTAGTAGAAATTTATAGAAGAAAAAAGAAGGCATTTCCTGGAAAAAGACTAAAGGAAGAAGAGGAGAGATGGCACTGCCACATAAGAGATAGTCTCCATTGTCCTCTCTCCTCACTCTCCCTCCCTCTTCCTTTCCTCCCCCCCCCCCCGGTGTGTGTGTGTTTGTCTCTCTGAGTCAATGTCTTGATTATGCATACATGTGAGACAACAAGCTTATCACTCTATATCGTGTATGTGAAAGAGGATTAGGCATTTCAATGTGTAGTGTAGACAAGGTGGATATAATTGTAAAACTATCTGATTCATCCTGATACCGAGTTAGAAGTAATGCAATCCACCATGAGAATATTATCAAGGAAGCTTTTGGAAGGCATTGTTGGACCTAAAAGAATCTTCATAAGAACTCAATATCCTCCCAACAGGGACAGATAAAATGACTTAACTGAGAAAGTTCCACAAGCATCTGTCTTCCTAATCTTGGTGGATACAGTCTAGAGGATCAGCTAATTGGCTTATTGGTCTTACGTGTTACAAATAACACGAGAACATAGAAACCCACCATCACCACCTATCATAAAGATAATTTACGGTGACTTTCTTTTCTCCTATCTTCGGAAACAAGAAACTTCTCTGGTTGCAGGTCTGAGAACAAAATCCCTCAGACATCACCAAGTCAAATTAGCTAGGTTACATACTCCATATAATAAATATGGATGATAAGACATGATGGTGTGAATTTATTTAATGTATAAATTGCTTATATAACATATAGTCATGACTGGAAAGAGATTGAAAAGAAAGTGGGTAAAAAGCTACACAGTAAATACCATCGTAATGAACCACTTTCTCTTTCAGTCATCAGCTATCAAGATAGAAAACCTCTAAAAATGGCTTTGTTAATGCAGTCATTGTTCCATGTATTAACTAAGTTGACTATCCACATGCCAACACCATCAATTTAAGAGAATGTCTCATTGAAAACCAATTATGATATATTAAGGAGCCAAGTGGTGTATCTTCTATGAAATTGTTTAACCAATGTGTGTAAATTAGTATGTAGTCCACTTGTGATTTTGTGAACTTACAGGCTTATATTTCCCTGATTCAAATAAACGACATGGTAAAGAAGAAATTTTTGTAGAGTTTCAGAAAAATAAATTTGACGAAGAGATACAATGTATAACACAATCAGTAATATCTTATCTTATAATATAACAATATGTTTAAAATAGTAATTCTACACATGCACAGATGGAAGGAAAGAGAGAGGGAGAGAGAGAGAGAGAGAGAGGCAACTGGATTACCTGAAAACCTTTCCCCCGCGTGATTCCTGTAACATCCACGTATTGCCCCGGGACAAAATGACGGACTGTGATCGGAGTACCAACAGGAAGAAGCGCATCTTCTGTCACCGGAAATTCCCTCAATTTCCTCTTGAGTGGAACGCCCTGAGCTCTAAAATGACCAACTTCGGGCTTCGTCAAATGTTTTGCCTTTTTCTGTCCGCATCCAATCTAACTAACACCATAACAGAAACCGCGCTCAAAAATCCAATCAACATCCATACAAAATTATTAATAGTAAATCGACCGAACAGAACAAGTATTGAAACATTCATATCAAAATAAGCAGAAAAGTGGAAGCAAAGAAATGAACAAAAAAAGAACTATCTTCAAATCGTACCTGTAGGGAGCTGATCCCTTCCTTCTCGATCGTCTTAACCTGCGATACAATATTATCGTCCAACCAGAGGACGGTAATCGGAACCCTAGCTCCCCATTTATCCCAAAGCGCTGTCATCCCACACTTAATAGCGATTGCCCCAGTCCTCTTCGAATGGGGTGTCATTACTCCCGGCCTCGCCTCAATGATCCTTGTCCCATCGTCGTCGATCTCACATCCATCATCGACTACCACAGACTCAGCACTGAATCTCCTGAGTTGATAGCAGCTGTTCGTCGTCGTTGTTGCATTTGTTGCTGTCCTAAGACCAATTGAGAGAAGTCTGATACGAGAAATGAGGCCTCTCGATGCGGCCGACATGTTTAATGAACTGGACTTCAGCGATACAGTTGTAAGAAAGAGCTTGAAGACATCACTGCGCAGCTTGTGAGTTGAGACTGAGAGTTCAAGACTTCAGGTGCGCCCCCGCAAGCCTTGAGAGAGAGAGAGAGAGAGCGAGACAGAGACAGAGACAGAAAAAGAAAGAGAAACAGAGGGTTTGTGTAGGGTTTTACATTTTAGTCTTTTGGTCAGTTGTTCATTCAACACCAACCGCCCGGGCCCGGCCCGCTATAAAGGCCCGTTTGGAGTCCGGATATGCTGATCACAAAATTCATACACAAATACAGCCGCACATTGAGAACATCTCGGTGTTCTTTGCACACGGGTGTTTTGTGGTCAGCAGATCAACGCCCCCTAGCCTTAGGGTTGAATTTTTTGGGTTGGGCCGAACCCGAGCCCAGATCAGTCCAGCTCCCAATAGCATAATTTTTTTAATAAACCATGTATATACATACATGCGTGTGTATACATACATATACGTGTATCAATCAATTTTTGATGGGATTGATCGACCAACTTAGATGTTCAAATGCATCAAATTTTAGTGTGGGTAGTTAGTGCGCCTGAGATGCGTAGTCAAACACCCGACACCATTTTAATAATTTATATTTTTTCAATCTGCAAAACTAAATAAAGAACGTAGTTTAATAGTGAGGAAGGGGTCGAATCCTCAAAGAAACAAAGTTAAAAATTATTATTTTGTTCCGAACAAATAAGAAAACATATTTGGGATTTGCAGAAAATAAGAAAATAAAATTTATTAAAGATGAAATTAAATATTCATAATTGAAAAAGACAAGAAATTAACAAGAAAATAAATAAAAATATGTTGAAATTCATATTCAATGGCGGTAGCTTTCCAGGAAGACAAACTGCAAGTCGTTCCTCCTCCGTTCAGCCCTCGAACCCCTCGAGACACCTTAGCATTGAACTGGGCGAATTCAGATCTATAAAAGACAAAGAAAAACAGAAATTAAATCAAACCAAAATCGAAAATTACAAAAATTAAATTGCTAGAAAAACTGAAAAATAACAAAAAATAAAACAAAATAAAAATGGTGGATCAGCTCTAGTGGCGGCAGTTGCAAGTTGGACGAACTCCTTATAGGAACCCCTCACAAGAATTGGGCGTCCTCCTTCCTGTAACCCTTGAACCCCTAAATAAGCCTTGGCCTTGTGAATTGGGCTAACCAACCCATTCTCAAAGGCCCCTAGGGTCCTTTTTATAGAGAATGATGGACAAAACTAGGATTAGAGAGAAAGAAATGGGCGGCTAGTGGGTTTATGCAGAAAATGGGCGCCCCTAGGGTTTAGCAATGGAGGGTTAGGATTAAACTAGAGGGATCCTATAGCTAGAGTGAAAATGAGATGGGTGTCTAAAAGTATGGAAGGCTGGGATTAAAGCTCCTAGAATTGAATGGTGGATATTTGGGCGCCTAGGGGTTGAAAGGTGGAGATTAATAGGAATAGGTGGCACCCTAGAGTGAGTGGTTGAGATAAAGAGTGAAGATCTAAGGGTATGAGAGGTTGCTAAGGCTGGGATGGTTGAGATTACATGTTAAGGAGAAGTGGAAGGTGAAGATTTAGCAGTTAGGGGTGGCTAGTGATGAACCTACAATTTATCTATATTTTATGAGGTTTTTGCATGAAATTTTATGCCGATTTAATTAGATTTTGCCCTATTTTAGCTTAATTGCAATAAAGATTTCAGGGGCAGCCAACTAAAGAAAAAGAAGGCAAAAGCAAGAAAAGAAAGCCCAAAATTTATCAAATTCAGCCCAGCCCAGCCATGAGAGCAAGGGAGTTTCATTCGGCCCAAGTAGTGCAAGCTAACTCTTTGGAAAACCCAAGGAAAGAAGCCTAGCAAGAAGGAAATTTCGGCCCAGCCCATTTTTAGCCCAAAGAACAGCCTAGAGTGCAGCCTAATGA